TTTGAGCCTCCCAGGGGTGGGCCACTTGCGCTCGCCCTCCAGGCCTTTTGTGTGAACTGCGCTCTCCCTCCCTGGGTGCTTCTTGCAAAGTTATGGCCTTGCAAGCAGGACCTGCCTTAGCACCAACCTTCCCGTTGGCCAGCGCGACTTAATGTGCATGAGCTTGTATTGAACCATTGAGGGACTTCTGTGAATTACTGGGACAGGGAAGAAAGTTGAGGGCTAGCCTAGATTTTTTTTTTTAATCCTTCCCTGAGGACATGCTTAGAGAGAGGAAGAGAGAGAGAGAGAAACATTGATGTGAGAGAGAAACATCGGTCAGTTGCCCTCCACATGTGCACCAACCAGGGATCAAACCTGAAACCCAGGTATGTGCCCTGACCGGAAATTGAACAGGCAACCTTTCAGTGCACAGCACGACTCTCAACCAACTGAGCCACTCTGGCAGGGCAAGATTTATTTATTTTTTAAGTAACCTTAACTTCTGACTCTTGCTTCTGCTAGCATTATTTCAGACCAAACTAAAAGGTTAGAACTAAGGTGTCAGCTAGATAATATGGAAAATCAAAACCATTTTGTTCCAAAGGATAATTTGTGGAAGAGTTTTGCAAACTATTTGGGAGAAATGCTGTTGTGTTGGTAACAAGTAGTACTCTTTACTCTGGCCCCTGCTAACCTTTGTTAAATGGCTTGCATGGATCTGCCATTTTCTGGAAATCCTCTTAACTGCTCTTTGGGGGCATGGCCTGGTGTCACAGTAGCCTGTGATTTGTAAGAGTGGGTGGACATGAGATGCTGTACCAGATGTTTTGAATGCCACAAAATCCATGGCTTCACAATGCATCTGGCTGAGATGGAGGTAGGAGGTGTCAGCAGGACAGCAGACAATTCTGGGAACTTGGATGTCCCAGCCTTAAAAGGCTCCTTCCTCAGAGATGGACTGTGGGATACAAATGTAATACCATCCCAGCAGAGGTTTGTTAGATGTCTGTGAAAATTTACCCCACGGATAAAAACCCACTTGAAGTGAAAGGAAGAGATGGAATGGATGACCCGTAACGTCTCTGTCCAGGCCCAGGATTTGTGAAAAAGAGGGGTAAAAAAAATAGGCAGAAAGGACTTCCTTTCAACATGGAGAGTAACATGTAGGACCACTTTCAGGACACATGGTTACAATGTGTGGCCCTGATCTGATTCTACCAAATCCCTGGCACTTACCTTTGCCCTCCAGAGGAGTTGCCAGAGTTAAAGGTTGGAAATCAGTAAACTTACTTTGTCAAGGGCCAGAGAGTAAATATTTTCAGCTTTTGGGCCATATAGTCTATGTTGCAACCACCCAACTCTGCCCTTGTGCTGGAAAGCAGCTCTCAGCAATATGTAAACAGATGGGGGTTATTGTGTTCTAATAAAACTTTATTTACACAAGTAGGCATCTTCCAGGGCTGATCTCTGGTTAAAGGTAAAAAGGGGCTAATGTTGGGAATCAAAAAGAGACATTAGCATAATTTCTCATCCGATCCTCCACAATAGATAACTATAATAAAATGTGTGGACCTTAGGAAAATATATGAGAGTTATAAACATCTATGTTAAAATTTTAAGCATGCTGATTGAGAGAAGCGAAAATATAAATAGGAATAGGAGAGCGTAGTTAAGTAGAGAAAAGAATTGACAAAAGGGGCATGGTTCTTCGTGGCTGTGCTCCAGCCTCTCTTCCTCTCACCTGCAGGCATGGTCTTGCTGGCCTGTAGCCATTCGTGTATATCCCCAGCTTCGTGGGATGAGTGGGGAGAGCCTGAGTCATAATTGACCTGCCTTGAAGCCCCAAGCTTTGTGCTCTGAGACTGTGTGATATGCATCCCTGTCTCATGCAAGTGAGCCACCCTCCACTCTGTGTGGGTGCTACCCTGGGGCCTTTGTAGTCAGGAGCTGTGGCTGCTGCTACTTCACCCTCCTAATGGGAGAGCCAAATGTGGATTGTTATTTTGTCATCGCTGAATTTCCTTTCCCTACAGAGAATCCTAATTTAGAAATTCTTCCAAGCTAACGACCTTCTTTGACTTACCATCAACTTGCATGTCAGCTTTAAAAAGCATTTAGGCCTCTCGGGGCAAGGTACCGATTACTATTTCTGTAGTCAAGAAAGGGAGTGAGTGTATCCCTTGATCTTCTAGGTGTTTCTCCTCCTGATCTCTAAGTCTTCAGGGGCGACCTCGGGGCAGGAGGGGAGGGTGTCGGGGGGATAGTGCTGGCTTCTGCAGCAACAGCTCCAGCGACCCTTTATGGAGCCGACGTTCTTGTGGTGACAGTCCCCGTCCTTCTGCCCCTGTGCTTGTTGCAGGAACAAAGGGGTGAGGACTCGGCTGGGATGCCTGTCTCACAAGTCAGACTCCTGTAGTGACTTCACAGCGATTCTTCCTGACAAGCCCAACAGGGCTCTGAAGTGAGTAGTATGGCCACTTGGGTTCCCAGCTTGGGGCTCCCACTGTGGGGCCACAGAACCTGTTCTCTAGTGAGTTGTTGACCAGATGAACCACGGGACAATGAATGCCTCTCTCTTGGCAGCTCCTTTTATACACCTGAATGTGACGGAGAGAATGGTTATTTTCCTTTCCAAATGTATCACTTAACTACACTTTTCAATTCCTTTTACTTTAAGGAAAATCATATTATCCACCACTTTTCTAAAGCTGTGGCCAAGGATATTTCTTGGTCCAACTTAGTTGTCAATCTGAACTGTCAATTTGGAAATGAACACTTCAGTCTACTCTAAAATCTGCTTAGGTTGAGATCATCTGGATTTAGTGCCTCAACTGTGCAGGCCCAGGGTTAAATGATGTCACAGATGTCACCTCATTTAACCCCCATAGGGTTCCATGATGGGTGACATTGTCCCCATTGCAAAGGTGAAGAAATTAAAGTGACAGAGAGGGAGTCGGGAGTTCAGCCTGACTTTTCTGACTCCAAGACCAGTTTCTTTCCATTGTGATCATCTTTAAATCAAGCACTTGCTTAGCTTTGTTTTTTAGACTGAAAGCCGATATACTAAATTCGCTGAATTCCAATCCTGAGATTTTTCCATCAGTTACTTAAGAATGTAACAAATTACAGAGACAGAATTTCGGGAATCCAGGTATGGCCTTCATGTGCCCAGTGTTGTTCCGATCTGTTCTCCTGAGCAAATCTCAGTGGTGGCTAAAGGAGAGAAAGTCATTTCAAAATTAGTCAAGAGAGAAGTTTTTTCTTTTCTAGGAGACTTTCCACAGAAGAAGCCACGAGATGGGCCGATTCCTTTGACGTGCTTCTCTCCCATAAGTGTGAGTAGAATTCAAGTTTCATCCTGTCGTTGCAAGTCATTCATTTATTAAAGGTGCACAGAATGCCTGTCTTGCATCAGGCAGGTGCTGGGCTAGGGTGCCCTGGACAGCTCCAGTCCTTGCCCTCAGAGCTTCCTGTCTGGAGGGGCGTATGGGTCACAAAACATAATTTACATGCTGTGGAAAGAGGGCCTTCTTTTCTGTTTTCTGGGTTGAAAGGAAGGTCCCAGGAAGCCTTCATGTTCTCAGCAGTTTTAGCAAGAAAAAATTTAGCTTAGGGAGTTGGAGTGATGGGTTCAATGGGAATGAGAGAGCCTAAGTTCCATCCTAGATCTGATTTAGAAGATGAAATGACCTCCCCCAGGTCACTGGAGAGCCTTGGGTTACTCTCAGTCAAATGAACATCCTGTGCATTTTGTTGTTCACCTGAGTTAGCAGAGATTTTTTCTCATTGCTTTTTGTTTTGGGGGATTTACTACCCCAGCTGCTTTATGCCCCTTGGCTTCTGACTAGGTGCAAGTCTTACTAGAATACACTTCTGCTATCCCTCCTCTTCGTTTTTCCGTTTCTTCATCTTTTATACCTTTTGTTTCTCACGAAGGCAGAAATAGTTGTGGGAAGGGAACCTTGAGTGTGGCCACACTTTTCAGCCCTGGCTCGTTTCTCATCACGAACAAGTCCACGTTCATTAGGCTTTAAAATCTTAGTGGCAATAAATATGTGGGAGCGGGAGAAAGAAGGGTCTTTTGAAGGAAAAGGTTTCCCACAGACAGTTGGTGTTCCTCTTAAATTCATGTTGTCAACTTTGGAAGTCCTGATTGATCAGGGAGCAGAAGGGCTGCTTTTAGTTTAGAAAATTGTTTCCAGTGAATTGGGAACACGATTTTGTACAGTGAAGTGAAGGGCATTGGTTGGTAGTCAAACCTATGTTCTCGATTTTGACCCACCTCAGCTAGTAGGTAGTTGAGTGGCCCTGACAGAGTCCCTCGGTCTTCAGAAGATGCCTTTAGAAGTGATTTTGCTTTCAACTGGGTGAGCAGTTCCCTCTGACTGTGCGCCTGATCCTCATGCTTATGAACAAATGCTTTTAAATAGATTTTAAAATGAAATGCAAATTCTGAGGAGAAGCACATATTGTAGCAAGTCATTTGGTGAGATCGTCATTTTGGTGTTCTAGGGATTACACTTAAGAAGGAAAATAAAGCAGCGCAGTACAGCGTCTATAGCATATGGCTAAGCCCCAAACAGAAGCTTGTGTGCTGAATTTGCCAAGGTAATGGCGTACGTAGGATAATACTTAGGATTTGACAGTAATGCTTGTTTTTTTATCAGGCTAGTCTGACTTACTTTCTGGAGTCACATTAGGCTAAACGAATGCCATTATCAATTTACACCTTTTTGGGCTGGATTTGATTCAAGGTCATCTGGAAGTCTCGTTTCTATTTCAGGTTCATGACTGACTCAGTTCAAGTCCCTGAGGCTGCTTCCTCATTCCAAAATGGGGATAGAAATACCTGTGTGCTACCTGTCACCCAGATATGAGACTCTTCATAGGAGGACACCTTTAGATAATTTGGGTTCTCTACTCAAAGGTGCTCTGTAAGAATATGGTGGTGTTTTTTTAAAAACTGATGCTTTTAATTATCAAATGCAAAGTAAATGCGTCTTGAGACTAAGGTTGCGAATTTGCTGCCAGTGATTAACGTCAAGTCATTATTGACAGAGCTTCAGTGGTAAAATGAGTGGATGGAAGCTTTGGGTACATTTGGGTTGCTGCAGTGGCAAGACTTGGAGATGTAAGAGGTTTGATTTTATTTGTTTGATTCAACGACTCTCAGACCTGAAGACACCAGGTTCTTCTTTTGTCGGGGATGTTTTCGATTTCCAGGAATTCAATGACACTCTTCTGAGATGGGGACTCTCCTAAGGGGCTAGAGGCTGACACCAGATTGCTTCTCTGGAAAACTACTACAAAAATAGGCTTTCTGGACTTGGAAGTTCTGTGATCCTTCTTGGAGTCTGAGGTTCTGTTTTCATTTCTGTTCCGTATGAAAATAAAAACCAGTGGAGTGAAGAAAGGGGTCTCTGTGCTGGGGACACTGGCAGAATCTCAAGGTCTTAGAGCTTTAGCACTTATTCCGCGTGAAGGCGATGGCGGAGTGGGAACCCAGGCTACCTTGAAGCGGGCCGACAACTTCCTAAAAGTCTAATTAATTTGGGTGAATCCTGTGACTCAATTAGGGTTGATTAAACTTTTCCAAAGGGATTGTGTGCTTGTGCTGGTCCCTTAGAGGGACAGCAGTTGATCAGAGGTGTACAGGGCTTTCAATTAAGACAACAAAATGTCTTTAAAAAGTAAAGAAAGGAAAACCGCTGAATGGCTGGGCTCCAGAAACGTGTGTTAATCTAGAACTGACTTCCTGGCAATTCTCCACACCTAGGCAGCTGTCCCCCTAAGTTTTCTATTTTAGAAAAATTCAAATAATTGGTTTTGCTCCCATTCTCGATCTACAGCGCGTCTCTGCCATCCCTGCTTTGCTGGGTATTTTGGGCACTCATTTGTTTTACAAAAGGTGCATTTGAGCGTTCATTGTGTACAAAATCTATGCCAAACAGCTGGCTGGCTGATGAATAGAACAGTCCTTCCCGGGTGGAGAATGCCACTTTCTGAGAAAACAGGCATGTGTTCAATTAACACAAGAAATAATACAGTGTGCTGACTACAGATGGAGACCTCGAGATTGCAGATAGAACCCCGACATTCAGTGCCCCTCTTAAATTCCATCTTGTCCATATTAGAAGTCCTCACTTCTGGGAGCAGAAAGGCTGCTTTTAGTTTCGAGCATTGCTTCCGTTTAATCAGGGAACATATTTCTGTACAATTAGGAAGAAGCTTGGCTGGTAGTCAGATTTTGACCCAGTTCTGCTACTCAACAGCTGGGCAGCCTTGGTGGAATCCCTGTCTGTTGGAAAATCTGTTCCCTCATCTCTACAATGAAGGATCTGGAGTAGGTTGTCTCAGAGGCTGGATCCAGTTCTGCCCCCTTGTTCTAGGATGCTCTCTGCAGTAACCATCCAGGCTTGGCAGTAACTAGTCACTCGAAGCAGGTAGTTTGAGTCAGTGCTGCCTGCAGGGTTACATAAAACTGCTTCAAAGCTGAAATGGCTCGAGCAACCAGAAGAGGGGCGAAGGCACCTGTGTTATGAAGCCTTCTCCCATCTTGGGCAGGGACCCACTTCAAATCAACTGATTCAGATCTCATCGGGTGGGTGGGGGAAAACAAGTTCACTAGTTTTTAAACCCAAGAATGAAAAAAAAAACACCTGGAATGCAAATATTTGGAACAGCTTTATTTTCAATCACATTTGCTGACAAGTACAGTACAAAGCTGAAGAAGCATCCATGGAGGTACCCGAGATAATCACTTGCTAAGTACACTCTCTCTCTCTCTTAACTAACAAATGAAAAATGAAATTAAAATTGCTGATGGCTTCATTAGATAGGGAAGGATTTCTAATGTGTGTTAATTTGGCATAATTTTCCTGTTTATCCAGTGACGATTAGACTGGGTGTCTGAGTCATGCATGTAGTCTGCTCCCCCAGCGTGTGTGTGTGTGTGTGTGTGTGTGTGTGTGCATGTACCCGTGTGCATGGACACCTAGAATCCTTTCTGCCTCTACAGCTCATACTCTGGAGTGCGAAGGCTCTCAGCTTATGGGAGATCTTTTCTGACAGATAAAGATCTGGAGAGCAGGCCCAAGACTGTATGTCTTCTATTTCATTCTTCAAGAGATTCAGACATATGCTTGAAATTTGTCCAGCTTTTAGTGGGACAGTCAGTCCTTAACTCTGAATCAATTCTCCCTTTCTTCTTTCCTTTCTCTCCCTCTTCTTCCTTCCTCCCTCCCTCACTCCTTCTTTCCTTTGTTTTTTGGACATGAAAGTTGGACTCATTCCACTTGTATGGTGAAGGTGTAGACAGGGTTCCTTCCCCTTTCCTCGCCTCTCTCAACCTGATCCCACACCTGGCGGACAGAGCCCTCACCCTGGGCATCTATTTGGTCCTTAGCTTTGTTTCACTGTTTGCACGGAGTGTGGAGGGTCGATGCTGACCTGTCCCCCCCAGGCCCAGGGAAGGCGTGGTTAGCGGAATAGCACAGCTGAAAGTTCTTTTGCACTGCAGAGTTAGCATCCATCTCTGAGGAAGCAAGACCAATAAAAAAGCGGCTAGTTTTAAAAATTAGCCTCCTTTGGGATAATGGTCGAGATATAGAAAAAGATAATGACTTGACAGGGCCACATGGCAACTAAGCAGAAAACCCAAAAACAAACAAACAAAGAAACAAACAAACACTAAATTACCAGCTTATGAAATTTTTAAATTATATATCCAAATGGTTCTTAGCTCTAGAATCTACAATTTAACAATCAGGTTTCCATTTACTGCATGGCCCTCCCCGCGTCCCTATCCAACTCAAAGTTTCTAGAACAAACAGTGTAATTTGAAGTGTGATCCAAGGAAGGCAGCTCCAACAGCTGCTGGGAGCTGGGGAGAAATGAAAATTCTTGGGTTCTGTGTCAGACCCACTGAATCAGAATCTCTGGCTGGGGTGGGGCAGTTTGTTTTCCCTCAAGCCCTCCAGGAATGTCTGTGTCCACCCAAGCATTGCTCTGAAACACGAGTAGGTACAACCGTGCATCTGGCACATGTTGGTAGGGCAGGTGGTCTTTGCTTTCCAAGAAACACACTGCACACTATTGTAGCTTTCCCAAGTTCTCGGGCAGCACATCCCTTCAATGGTATGTCATCTGCGTATTACAGATTCCACATTTGTAGCAGGTACGGTGCAGGCTGTTCACAGCAACTAAACAAATATGGCAGGTGTGCTGTCTGGGCAAACTGAGGAAAGGGGTTAGAGATATGCAGACGGGTGGAAGAGACTTCTCTTTCTCCTTGCCATTCTCTCTATGTTGTTGTAATTTTGCCTTGTGTCCAGGA